CCAGAAGTGCAAATAAGCAGAAAGTGCAAGAGTCTGTGCTATGTACAGTAATTACAAAATGTACAGATGTAGACTAAAAAAAGTGAATTAGTAGGTATATATGGATGGCTGGATTAATGGGACGCTATAAATATAAATAAATGCTATAAATATAAGTGTATTCTTAGGATATTATATTCTTAGGATTCTTAGGAAATAAATGTGCAATGTATTTATTTACAATTTAAATTACAAACAAAAGAGAATATGCTACGTGGATATTTAAAGAAAACTACAAGCTGCCACTTGTCAAAAAATAAACCAGATTAGCCATAAACCCCGCCTCAGAAAGGACCAAATGCCAATCACAGTTTAGGATTTTTGGGATGGCACCTGGGGTGGCCAATCAGATTTCGAGGGGGGGGTTAATGCCACCCCACTCGACACATGCAAATATAAGTAAGTAGGGTGGCCATCATTATTTTAATAACCTCACCCTATAATCATTCAAATGTCAAAATCATGTGTCACAGAGTTACAATAAAACAGATTTGTTCTTGGCCTTAACTCTTACTGAACTGTCTTTTTTCTTCCCTTGTTCATTTTGTGTGTGTGTCAAGTATAAAAAAGTGTTTCCCAAAAATGATTGAGAACGGTGAAACAGGGTTCATTTTGCGAGCGAGCAGATATATATCGATGACAATGTTGAAGCTGTTGTGTAAAAGCCCTCCTCAGCACATCGATAAATGCAGCAAACCGAAGCTGATGGGATCATAAAGTGTAACCCCTGACGACAAGCAGTGTCCTTCACCGCACGCCTGATGGCCTTCATTCAATTTCTCTGTAATGGTAATTGTAGCTGTTCCAGGTGACCTTGTTTGGTTTTGTTTTGCAGTCGTGCTGCAGAGAGGGAAAGAGCACAGAGGGCAGATAGACTTCCCTGTGGCACCCACAGACTTCGTTCATTCAACAAAACTTGAGGGCATTTCAGGATGACCTCCAGCACAAGCAGCTCTGACTGGCCAGAATGAAGGCTTTATCTCTAATTATCATCCATGAATGTTTGTCAGTAAAACTGCTGGTTTACACTCCAGTTGGGATGAAAAATGAACTCTAACCAAACCTGCAGACATTGAATGCAACTTAGCTTCACGCAGTAGGAGAGATTTCATACTGTTCTAACATCCAGGACAAGCTCTGCAAACAAAACTGTCTTTGTTTGCATCAGATGTTGCACCATGTGTAACAGGAAAAGACCAAACAATGCTCATAGTTCTTTGAAATTTCCTCTGAAGTACCTTAGCCCACAAATAAAAAAGAGTGTTCTGTTTCTTTATATGATGAAAAGAAGCCATTTTTGAGTGTTTTATTAACTATGCAAGTTTAAAAAGCACACAATAACTGCCAATCAGCCGAAAAGTCACTTGTGTTTTAGAAACTGGTTCCTGTGGTACACATTTATTTAATTTCAATAGCTAAATCTGTTTTGAATAGGAAATAATGTAAATTCTCACTCCTAGGAATGGAAGTCCTTCATTTCACTATACCGTGTCAAGCATGTTATTGTAGCAATATAAATAACTTGCACTGGATTCCTTACCCTAACCCTACCAGTGTCAACATGTCTCCTTCAACATGTACAATACGTTCATGTTAGCCTGTTTCCAAGCCCAAATATTGCCACTATGAGTTTTGTTTTTGTGGTTTCTGTCCTAACGGACAGAAGCTTTCAAGTAGACGCACTGAAACAAAGAGGTCTGTGAAATGTAGCTTACTATTCTCCCCCCTCTCTTTTTTCTCTCTCTAGTAAAGGAGCCCTCTTATGTAAGAAGTCTCCCTGGGTGTGTTCCCACACTTGCAGTCCCGCCTCCTATCGACCAATCAGGTAGCTCCCTCAGTGGCCTGGGCCCCAGTGTTTTGTTTGTCATCGTGTAACAAGATTCTCACAGCGTGCAGCGAGCAGCTAACGTTGGGCCAGTGTAGAAAGTGAAGGGTGAGACATGAAGAAAGATTGGGGGGAACGGTGGGTAAGGGGCTAACCGGGGGCTGGCGGTGCTCCAAAAATGCCATAACACTCTGTCTCACAGCTGTTACTACACATGGAGATGTGTTGCCATGGCAACAGGGCCTCTGCCCTCCCTCCTCCCACCTTCTAGCCTCAAGAGAAATGTAAGGGTCCTCTCCATACCATTTCCTTACAGTAAAAACAGTTTTTTTCTGACTGCTGTTACATAATGGCAGAAATAAACACATCACTTTTTATCATAAGGTTCCAAACTTTTAAAGTTTTCTATTGTAAAATTGGGGTTTTATTGTTTTAAGATTTGATGTTGCAGCATGTGTTAATTTTGAGGGACATGCAAAATAAACTAATCATCTTCTTTTTTGTATAATAAATGCTTTTTAAAACCATTAAATGGCCTCCAAACTGCTTCAATCATCCAGAGAAGCTCTTACTGTGTTGGCAGAAGAATCTATTTTGGTCAAAATAATGAGCTTTAAGATTCAATTATCCACAAGCCATAGATCTTGAGTAACATTTGACCTTTAAATACGTTGAGTTCAGACCCCTGACCTGTGCATTTTCAATCAGGGTGTAATGGCTGTAACATAAGAAATAAATCAGTTGAGGCTAGTGAAAAAGAAGAGGTTGAACAAAGCTTATTGGCAATATGGCACCAGCCAATACCGTGAACTGTACTGTCAGCGTCTTTTTTTGGGATAATGTGTCTCTGTCACTGATCCTCTCAGGCTTCTGACACTGTTACACAACCTCGCTTTAATCCCATGCTGCAGGTGATAACTTTAACCACAGATTTGGGGTCAGATTAGGGCTGCTCACAACTCAGCCTTGACTTTAATAGAAACTCACTCTTATCTGACTCTAGAGCAGCAGCTCACTTTAATCCCTTTGGAAAAAAAAATAGAACAAGACTTAGTGGTGGCGTACAGTAAAAGATTGCAGTGTCTTAGTGAATACACTGCAGGTTTTCTCTCGACTGGCATGTCTATGTGAAAAGTTAATAATAGTGATTTATATATTGGATGTTTAGTAGCAGATGGAGGAATTGACCACTGTCAATACTGCACATAAAATGTTACAATTAGGGTATAACCCTGCAAACCTCCAAACTGAGGATGGATGTAACAATTTAAAATGCTTATGATCAGTGTTAAGTCATCTCTATCTAAATTTCTAAATGTATTATAGATTAATATGAGAAAAAATGGGGGAAATATTTTTGATATGACATCATGTTTTCCTTTAATGTATTCTCAGGAAAAATAGTTGAGTTTCTAATCCCTAACTTTATTTTTTAATGCTTGATTATTAAACTTTAACCATCTTTCCTGGACCACTTGTAAATAAAATAATGTCTTCCATGTTTTGGCCTTCGACACAAAGAATTGTAAACTCGTGGCCTCATATCAAGTCTATTTTCCCTCCTCTTGATGGAACTGGCAAATGTTCCTGGAATGCTTTTATAACTCATACACAACTCAAGGATACTCGTTCTTACAACTGCAAAACAATCACACATAACCTGAAATGTGCCATTGAAACCATTTAGACTTTTACGGCACAAAAATAGGAATTAAAAGTTAGTTGGAAAAAAAGTCAGCTTTCTACCATTGCTTTGTTACTGTGCCTTTTTAGGTCATATGGTTCCTTATTAGTAGGACTACAAGTTATATAACAAGTCTCCAATATTCATGTCGATCCAGTTGGTCAACATCTCACTGTTTACTTTGTGGTTGCTGAAGCTCCTGCCTTCAAGTTTTGCTTGTTGGCTTAAGTTTATGAGTCTTATTTTTTGGGAGTGGAAGAAATAGATTTCATTTTAATGTGAGTATTTGGAGCACTGGTTTGCGATGAGAAAAGAATGCTTGTCAAGTCTCATGTCCTTGACTTTTCACTTCTCTGCATCATGTAAAAGATTTTTTATGTTGATGGTTATCTGTGCTTTGTGTCACTAGAAGTGTTTAAAACATGCAGTTAGATAACTGAAGGTATTACACACATCATGGAACACGTTCAAAACATTATGACGTCAGATTGGAGAAAAGCACACCTTGTGAAATGCTTTGTATGAGCTGGGAAAATATTTGTTTAGTTTTGGACGATGCCTGATAAGTTAGTGGGCTCACATTTGCTGATAATGGATACATCGTGAATTCTTTATTGTGAAGCACTTTGTGATGTCTGTTCTTGAAAGGTGCAGTATAGATAAACTTGACTTACTTACTTACATAATTAGTGGCTCATATAGTGTGTTGGAAATGTGAAAATAAACTGCAGGAATTAAACATTTGTGTTTCTTTAATTTATTTAAAAAAGTACATTAATGGTAACATTCCAGGTATATAGAGACATGTTATGTCTTAAAGTGATAAAACTATGCATTAACTGTATGATATGATGTTATACGAAATATAATTCTTCAACTGTGAAAAAAGTCTTCATAGCTACAACCTCTCACAACTATGACCCTGCCTTTATTAAATAATATATTTTTAAAATATATGCAATTTCTGTATTTATTTTTCATCAATTCATCGGTCTCAAACTTAGTACAGTCGGGATGAAGTGTGGGGTTCATTGAACCACAGTGACCCTGCACGTTTACACGTTTTCATGCTTTATGGCTACATGGCGCCCTCTGTTGACGATTATAATTAATTTTCATTTATTTTTGTACGTTTATTTTTAGAAATTAATTTTTAAAAAAACATGCAAACAAAACAAACAAGAATGACAGCATACTTTATGTATGTACGATTTTTTTTTTTCATTCTGATCTAGTCCATCTTCGAAAAAGGATGTAAGGTGAAGTGAAAAAACCGTACCCAGTCCTACCCCTTTTTGTCTTTTAAGCTTTCTAAATTAATCCATGGCCGAAGCTTTCAAAATAAAGTCAAATAATACAGCTAAGACGCTAAGTTTAATTTCACAAAACATTTTAAAAGCGACTATTTACAATTAAAAAAACATTGTTGTTACATATTGCTATCAGGCACTTTTTTTGGAAACCCAACTCGACTTCCGTCAAGCTGTTTAAGGACCCCAGGATGTCCATGCTTGCTGAACGTGAGTACATTTCTTGTTTTTATTTTCTAAATATTTCCTGTTAATATTAAACATTAGCGCGTGGATTTGTGTGTATTGGCTTCGCAAAAGAAACCCACGACCATCTGTTCAGAGACTTTCTCCTGAAAACATCCAGAAATGTGTACTTTTTAAAGTCTTCGCTCAGCTAGCAGTAGCATTGTCATTAGCTCTGGCAGTCGGTAAACACGTGTCGTTGCTGTCTTTGACTTGACAGGAGTTTACTTCTACCTTCCTGTTTTGCCCAAAATGTCAGAATATATTTTATCCAATGACAGTCTCCTTTCATAAACTATTGTAAGATTAGATGAACTGAAGTTGGACTGTAAAAAACAATGGCTCAATATATACAGGCTCAACTCTTCAAAAAGAGAAACAGACTAGTGTGCGCATATCCAGGTTTGTCTCCTGTGCTTCGTGGTTCCTGTTGTGTGTTTACATCCAAATGACAAGCTACTGTGGTTATTATTTAGGCCTTTTTATGTATCAAACTAATATACTTTGTGTGTCGGGTCTGCTGACTATTTCACCACATTTTAATAAACAGCATTTGACTATTAAACTGGTGACAACCAAGCGATTAACAATAAACGTATTGAGTTCGGCCTTGTTGTTTCCCAGCTCATACATTGTAACAGCTTACATTGAGTCAGTAAAGAAAAAAGGGAAAGTGTATCAGCTTTTGACTGGGCCTGTTTACCTGCTGTAATTGTTCTGTAGTCTACCTGAGGGTGGCATCAGAGTGAGTGAATCAGTCACCTGTAGATATTTGGCTGTTTAGAATAAGATATGATGGTTAAAGTTCCATTCAAGTTTTTGCTGTGTAGATATTAAGTAATGATTTTGAGACACATTCTCGTGTAGTTTTGGCAGAGACATTTAAAAGTTGGAGAAATGTACATATTCTAGGGTGTATGTTTATAACTGTATACACACACTGCCCTCAGAGGAACATGTGGTCCCTGTAACACTGTTTGAAGATAAGAGGTTCAGAAAATACAGCATAGAATTGTTTCACTTCTCCAAGTGTTCAAGTTTCACCACCAAAACTCCACAGTGCACCGTTAAGATTGGCGTGCTTATTATTATTATTTTTTTTAGATCATAGCTGTGATAAAATGGTTGGTTCCTATAAGTAGAGGCAGGATTATCTTTGTGGCTACTAAAAATAACAATGGAGACCGAAAACTTGATAAGAGAGGGCTGCCCTTATACTTTACTGATTGGGTTATGACAGCTTAAGTGAATTGCTGTGAAAACCAAAGGGCAGACATTTAAGCCCCATTAAGTTTAAAAAAAAAAAAAAAAAGGAATGATCATCCACCGCTGTATTCCACTTTGGAGTCATATGTCAACTTGTTAAAAATCACCCAAATATTGCAGTTTGTACAACTTCTAGCCGAGAAATATTATTAATGGATAAGTTTCACAAGAATATTAGACTTTAAATGATCTGTATTTAATAACCGAATTGCAGGCTAAATCTGATATCTGTGTCTGCACAGAAGACCTTGAGTAAACCACTGCAACACATATAAATGTAAGGTTACTGTTATGTAATGACCCTGCTGCTCTCTCTCAGCCAAGAGGAAACAAAAGTGGTCTGTGGACCCCAGGAACAGCGCCTGGAGCAAGGATGACTCCAAGTTTGGCCAAAAGATGCTGGAGCGTATGGGGTGGTCAAAGGGCAAGGTAAGGGTTGAACCTCATCTCTGATATCCCAATAATCCATGATCCACATCTGTGTCATGTTGTGTTTTCTCTTTTCATATTCAGGGCCTTGGAAGAAGTGAGCAAGGCTCCACTGACCACATCAAAGTGAAAGTTAAAAACAATAACTATGGTCTTGGAACTAGTGCCAGCTATGAGGTGAGCGCACATCCCTATCAGATAATTAGTTTTGATTTATTTCCCAAAAAAACATTTGAAACTCAAGATGATTGTTAGTACGTATTTTCATGGATTGATTCATCTTGATAATTTTGTGGACATATTTTTTTAAATTGTGTCAACCGTTTTAGGGTAATTCTACTTTTGGGTCTGTGAAGCTGTAACCTTATATGGTGAAACATGTCAATTGTAGCAGATCTATGTTTGGATAGGAGCCAACCATATGTTGTCAGCAACTGTTTGCTAGACAGAGAGTCTACATCTGTTACGTATACAAATCAGTGTCATGTCATCTTTATTGTTTTATAGTGATGTACCCAAATGGAAAGGAATTTGTGGGCTGTACCTTCTAGCAGAATATAAGCAACACTGTGTGATGAAGACTTTGACATTTTGCCAATGATTGTCAATGATTGTGATCTTGGTCAGCATGGGTCAGCGATGGTCTGCACTTTGTCAGCCATGTGTGTTGTGTTTCTGTGTTGTCTGACCATGGCTGAATAAATCTAAGATGATCCACAGTCTGTTTCACGATTTCATCATTGTTCATCTACGACAGAAATAACCCCCACCTAACAATGATCGATTGTTATTATTTACAAACATCAGTTATTTGTAGATGTTGCCCATATTTGTGTCGGCTATTAGGCGACAAGTTGTTTCACAATTTTGTTGTTAAAAGAATGATAGAAATATAAATTTGGGGGGCATTTGGGAAAAAGGTAATTAAATAACTAAAAAATACAAATCTGTTCTAATGAGCCTGAGAACTTAAGTCGACTTACACCTTCATCCAAAACCTCAGGTTGAAAGTTTCACAGCGGCCCTTCAAATTTATCTCTATATATATTTCTTCTATATAAGCGTCCTTGGGTTTCTATATAAATCCAGGTTAATATTATTATTCTAAAATTGACTGAGACTTGAAAAAGATGTCATTATCAAACAGATGTGTTCTTCAGTTCTGTTGAGATGTGATGTGTTGACAGGATAACTGGATTGCCCACCAAGATGATTTCAATGAGCTCCTCGCTCAGCTGAACAACTGCCATGGTCAAAACAACACCACTGGTATGTACAGACATTTGTTCTGTGTGTCTTTTACACTGTTCCAAACATGTTAAGACAAATGTGTTATCTTTTATAGAGTGGTATTGTGTCCTTTAAACAGTATCACAACAAACCAACCATAACCCTAATATTAAAGAAAATATCTTCATTGTGAAATTTGACCACCAAGCTTCAGCATTGTGTGAACTGCCACAATACTGCACTTCATCAAAGTGCAGCGTTCTCTGGTTGGTTGATTCTTCTATTGGTCAGTAGAGGGGGCTGCACTGCAACGTTCAGATTCAGCGGCTGTCATGCAATAAGCATCTTCATTAACGCTGGCCTCATAGAAAACTGTTATATCTGAGTCTGTAAAGAGGTGTGAAGCATCTTATATTTGTAACTAAGTGACCAATTTTCATTTCTAATCCACTTTCTTCATCAGTTAAAGAGCTGCCATCAGAGGAGCAGAAAGGATTCAGCCTGGAAGCAAAGTCCAAAACATCCAAAAAGAGGGTCCATTACATGAAGTTCACTAAAGGTGGGTTTATGTTTTTGGCAGCCAAAAGTTCTTAATAGCGAATAAAATTGGCCGAGCGTGGCGATAATCACGCGCATTGTGCTTTTGCTTTTCCCTTTTTTCCCCGTTTAAAAACAGAAAACAACACAGACGACACGGGGCAGGGGATTTAATTTTTGCAAGGTTCAGGGTTACAAAGAAAGACATGCTTCAAGAGTATAAGATGCAAATTATATTGCAAATGATAAAATTCAAATCCATTTAAGCAATCACCATGCATGGTAATATTCTAACATATAACCAACTGCATACAGCTCTGGTATTAGAAGAAGAGGAAATCTCTTTCTAACGTCTGTCCATGTGTTTGAATGACCTTGTGTCAGGATATGTCTGTATTTATTATGCTAGGCACCTTATGCATGAACAGCTCACGCATGGGCCTTCTTCTTTTGAAGTGTTGAGCCTTTCATACAGTACGAGCAGACGGACGAACGGACAGCCTCCGTATGAGTGTTTGGATCAGAAGACAGATGCTGATCAGAGGATCTGTCAGCCTGTGCTGGGTCACACGGCTGGGTCAGTTGACCCGGTCAGTGCCAGGGCAGGTTATTAATAACTCTCCCTTCTACTTTCATTACTTCTTTAGACGTCAGGAAGCTGAGATTTGCTGGTCAAGGCCAAAACCCTGATAACGGAGGAGGAATTTAGTGTTCAGGACCACTGGATCCAGATGAATAACCAAAAAGCTCATATTTTACTGCTGATTTGCTGTAGTTTAGAAGCAGTGTAGTTGAGTGATTAAAAGCACACATTTGATAGTTAGAGTATTTATAAGTCATCTGGCTTATATTAGACTTGAATTTCATCCTTTGGACTTGCCGTACATAGCTTAATACATTTATTTAAATGTATTACTAATACAGCATTTGGAAAGTCGTTTTCTTTTGTTTGTTTTTTTTAAAGAAAGTTTTGCAGCTTCATAAATGATTAACATGTGTCTAAGTAGTAAATCCATAATAGATTTTGTGTTGGGGTTCAAATGTACCTCTTGAAGCCTGCATACATGGGAAAATCATCAAGTCTCAACTTTTGCCTCACCTGGAACAGACTTCGACATTTTTACGTCATTCAATAGCAACTTCCCTTTTCCTGTTTGGGGCATCTGGCATGTCCATTTACTGCCCCCCCAAAAATAACACCTCCCAGTGGCTGTGCGACCCATTAGATGAGCCTTTCTGATAACAGTGTCCTCGGCTCTACCCCAGCTCCTCTCACTCTGTTTTTGTGAGCTTAAATTGGCAGGAGCCAGAAAGAGACACAGTCCCTGATGGATGAGACACACCTCACTACGCACTTAAGACACAAAGTATAGACATGAGGGGTGTGATGATAACTCCTTACAACTTCAGTATAACTGCACATTTTTGCTCAGGTTAAAACTTTCTTTTGGCTGCGTTACAGATCATTTAACTGCTTTTATTTTAGATGTAAATCACTCTTAACTTTGTTTGATATTGTCGTCAGGAACTTTTACTGCAATTGCTTTGGAAAGTTGGATTTGTTTGCCTGCAAAGGAGTTTTGTAAAGTTAATTAATGATTGTAGATTTTTTTGCTTTAAACTTACTGAGGATAAATCACCCAGGGGCTGCTGTGGATCAGTGGCATAGTTAGGTGTCTCTATTAGTACAGTTTTCTTTGCAGTGAATTTGTCAAAATGTGTCAAAGTCCTTGAGTGAATCATAATTCTGACCCTGTTTTTGGGCATCCCAATAGTGACACGAACTGACATGAATAGCTACACCTCATCTTGGACTGCTCCGTCCTTGAATATCTTAACAGCATTTCCTAACAGCACATTGTGAGCGTCAGCGTCAAAATCAGCCCGTGTGATCGTGCACGATGCGACACAATATTTAACGGTCGTGTGCTGTTAGGACCAGTGTAACAACACCGCTCCCTTTGTCCACAAACAGCCTCATCACCCCTTAAAAACTGCAGCACAAAATCCCTTCTTGAGTCATTTCAGCAGCCATGTTGTCTGGTGTACATCTGTGAAAGTACTGTATGTGTGTGTTGACTGGGAACTTGAGCCTTGTTTGCCCTCTTTGCATTTGGACCTCTTGTACCTCTTGGGTCGTGAACTAATAAGATCTTATCCGACCGGACTTTAAGTTCTAATCCATTTGAACAGATCCCTTCCATTATCACCAGCAGCTGCTTAAAGGTCAGGGGCAGCTAGGAAGAGGGTAGCATCTGATGCTAATGCTGTTTGCTGCTTTAGAGTATATGCTATCCACCTTTTCTCTCTTTTTTTCAGACTGTTTAAGATGATAGAGGGGCAGTTTAAGGGAGATTCAGGCGGCAATGTTTTCAATGGAATATAATCTTAGGACAGTGTGTGATGGTGTAGATTTGTTTATTTAACAGTCTTTGGCAACATGACACCCCTATAACCAGTTTGTCTTCTCGTTGTCACGCAGCAGAGGCTACGCTGGCACTTCTTGTCTGAACTTCATTGGAAACCTAAGAATCATTGCTCCGCCTGCCTTCAGTTTTCTGGCAGGCTTTATCTTTGCAAACTGTCAGCTCTGAAATATTTTAATTTGGAAAATGTTTGGGTGTTTTTGAAAGTGGTGGGCAAAACAAGAAGTTTTTTTTTTTTTTTCCTCAACAATTTTTTTTCATCTTCTCCTTCTGTTGACATTGCCTTTCTGTGTCCAGCTTGTGGTCTGGATTGACATGGGCAACCGAGGAGTTACCTGGAAACATGTATCCTGCCACGCCTGTTTGCAGGCTGCCACTGGCTGCTTGGAAGCAGGCTTCCCTCCCTGTGAAGCTGTTGCCAAGTTAAGGTTTAGTAATAGATTTAGTGTTGCTAAGCTCGTTACATGAGAGTTTAAACAAGTCAGGTACTCCTCTCATAACGCTGGATGTGAAGAGTGCAGACAAAGGTGAACCTTACAGTCCTGCAGTAAACAAACTTGTTTAATTTATGTGCCAGATATTGCAAGAGGCTTTATAATTGAATGATTTGACTGGTTTTTAACTGGTTATTAGCTCTGAGCATTTTTGCTTGAATAGTGGTCAAGTCAATATCAATATCCTCATGGATTGATTGTTTAATTGTCATTAATATCAGCTACATTGAAATATTGCGTCAGGATTCATGGCCACGGGAGCATTTAAAGAACCTTTGAAGCATCTCAGGTCCTCCTTGTTACTCTCCTGCTTCTTTTTAATCAATATCCCGTTCATGCCGGCTCCCTCACTGCCAGCGCTGAGGATTGATGGCCTTTGTTTGTGGGGAAAGGCACCGAAATCTCCGCTGCATAGGTCCGGAGCCCACAGCATAAACCAGTAACCCAGTTTTAATTGCTGCCGCTATCTATCACCTGTCACTGAAACAAGGGTGGCTGATGCAGAATTTAACCACAGCTCCGTCTGATGCTATGTGTGGTTGGCTTTGGTGAGGCTTTTAGAGAATCTTCTATATTTAAGTAAAGAATTTGAGAAATAATAACATTTATTTTGTTTTCAAATTTAAATGTGATATCTATTAATATGTGTATGTCCTTGGAAACCAGCGTGTATTCATTAACACTTTCCACCACATGTTAGGCTCATGGTATCCAGACACCTTTTGAAGGGTTATGGGAAAAGTGGTGTTAGGCTCCCTTTTATCACAACCCTGGTTTTTGCACTTTCACCCGAAGGCCTGAGAATTCTGACAGGTACTTCCTCTCACAAACAGAGGAAAGGTTAGTTCGGACATAATTTTACATTTGACCTTAAGTTCACTGCTTAACAAACACCACAACCACCTCCCCCCCTATTTGTTTTAATTTTCAACATACTTTCTTGGTTTATTTCTTAGACCTGCCTGTGCAGCGACTTTCAAAGCCAAGAGCAGGGAAGATAGAGGTTTAAAAGCAATAAATAACCAAATGTTATCAGAGCCGCGCTGAAGGAAGAGGATGCAGCTGTACGAACAGGACCCAGGCTCGAGACGGGCCACTGTGTGCTTCAAGAGTCTTTGAGGCCGGCTAGAAAATGGGAATCCGGAGGCGTGGCGTGGCAGACCTTTTAGTCCGTTTATTTGTCTTTGCCGTTTTATCCTAGGAGCAAGACACAAACCTCCCTTTACTTTTACTCCATACACCTTCACCCCTTATCCTCTACCCCAACACACACACACACACACACACACACACACACACACACACACACACACACACACACACACACACACACACACACACACACACATACACATACGCAGACATGCAATACACACACACACACACACACACACACACACACACACACACACACACACAGAGACATAGTAATGCTTTCAACTGAAGCTATAACAGGATTCCTGGTCAAAACATTTCTCCATAAGTTGTGTTTATATAAAATTGACTGTAGTTATTTTATTTCTTGTGTTGGACAATGATTGTTTTGAAAACGGTGCCTTGGAATAATTTTTGGTCACTTTCTGGTAAATTTTCAAAAGAAAAACAGCCATTAGTGCGACAAAGTAATGACTCTTTGTTTGGTGGATTTCTGTTTTTATTTGATCTTTTTTGAATGAGCATTTATTTCACTTGGTTGTCGTTATTGCTTGGTTTTAAAAATAATGTTTTGTTTTGTTTTGTTTTTGTTTTGTTTGCCTCTTTTAGGAAAGGATCTGTCCTCCCGTACAGAAACAGACCTTAACTGTATCTTTGGGAAGAGAGGAAGATCTGCCAAAGAACAAGAGCAGGTATGAGACTTCTAGTTTCTTTACATCATCAATCAAAAAAAAATCTTCTTTTCAAATTTTCATGAGCCAAACAGCTTATACGTTTCCTAAATTCAAAAAGAAAAACAAATGGAAATTTGACATACGGTATGTAGCTCACGCTTCATTACTTTGTTTTGCTGGCCATAAATTATAGTCCTAAAAAAATACGGAGACGGATCAAAAGATCCTGATATCATCCAAAATGAAAAGTAGGCATGTAAAAAAAATAAACACAAGGAGACAATTGATTTAATGTCTAAACGACAAAACAGATTGCACAAGGACAGGATGAAAAGCCTTAAAGTGAAACTAATCTTCATATTTCCAGAGTTTTCACTTCATAGACAGAATCTTTGTTGATCCTTGTTTCACAGTCAGATTTTATAATCACACTCACTGTTCTCTAGGACCTTCTAGTAATACATTATCACGAGTAAAACAAATATCCGTCATACCAAATCAGGGTGGATATTCAGTGAAACATTGCTTTGATAGACTGAGTTAAAGGCCGGTGATCTGTAATCACCCAGTCAATGTCAAGTTTGCGCAGGGGTGGAGGCGACACTCCTCTGGCCAGGTGGCTTGAGCTTATCCCCCTTGTGGTAGTAATTAAGGATGACCACTGGTGCTGACGCCTCCATCAGTGACTGCAGTATCATGTGACCCAGTTGCTCCTACAGGGCTCCTACAGTCCTGAACAGCCTGTGGCCTTAGATTAGCCATGTCACAGCGTGCAGCCTTGACAACGCCAACAGGCCACTGTCAGTGGGAAGAGCACCTAAATCCAGTTAAAGGATTTGCACTCTTACCCTTTCCTCCTCTCTTTGCACTTCTTCTCTGCTGTTCCGGTGTCTTGGAGCGCATACGTCAGGTAGTTGGGATGCCACCGGGCATTATTAAGGGCAAATCCAAATTGGGGTGAGATGTGCAGAAACTTGATATGATGACACATGCAGTTAAGTTCTCCTTTTTCGCTTTTGGCATCAGTGGTCGGTCACTTCAAACGGCAATGTGCCATTTGGCGGTATACTGCCTCTCATGCTTTTGTAGCTTACAGGCCCAGGCAGGTGCAAGCTGTATTTCAGATCAACCTAGTTCTTTTGCTTACTTATCCTAAACAAAACCTTCCAAAGTCAAAGTACGTGTATTAAGTCACTGCATTTTATTTGCTTTTGCAATAAGATGTGGGGCGTGTGGATGGGATCGATTCATACAACCAATTGTTGTAAATCAGGTGAAATACTGTCAAATACGGAGAATCATTTATCCTTAACATCTACTTTGGAATTATGTAGACATGAAAATAAAATAAATGAAACACTAGACGTATAATATTACAATTTAAAACACCTCCTTTTATATAACGGTTGTTTTTGGTGTCACAAGTTTTGCCGATTCCACACAGATCCGGCAGGACAGTGATAAATGCAGCGTCTGGACTTGGAGACACAGAAAAACCTCTTGCTGGCTTCCTCGGTTTATCTCGAGCATTAAGCTTGAAGGAATTGGCATCTTGAAATCCATAAATTGCGCGAAAAAAAACCCTTCTCTATACCCCCCAAAGGTGCTGAGCCATAACATCACAATGGCTACTGCTGCTTCCCAGCTGATTAACATTGGAAATGCAGGCAATACACACCATCATTTTCTCCCTAATCGTTTGGTTATGGGTTGTTATTTTTCAGCCAGGAGGGACACCATTGAGCGTATCGAAAACACTGAACACAATCACAATGGCTTCCCATGAGGCCTTGTGCTGAAGCCCAGCATCATCTAAGGTTGCTGGGAAGAGGTAAAGAGGGTGATGGACCAATCAAGCTCTAGGCATTGTGCAGGATCTCCTGTGAGTGTGTGTGTGTGACACTGGCACTGACCCTCTGTGCACCCTGAACTGTGCTTACCGTATAGTTATAGCACAATCACACTTAACAAGATGCACACATGCAATCATCTCAATACCCCAAAGAGCTGTATTCTTAACCAGGGGCTAGATCTACATTGGGGGCTTTACATGGGTGTACACATGTCCCGTTATCACATATCTGCATCCTGACAAGGTTAGGCCGGGAGACTTGACCAAATCTGGAGCGGTTCCTCCTGAACCGCCCTCCTTCCCACTCATGAATCTTCCACCACCCACTGCTGTCTCTCCAGCCTCCCTTCCACTGGTCCCCCTCTGCTGGGGTTTTCCTTCCTCAGCAGTGATGTGCTTCCTGCTCGCCTCTTATCGCTGCTCACAACGCTCCCTGAAACCCAGACAGGCAGAACACACACACACACACAAACACACACACACACACTCATACTTCTGTCCTACATGCCTCTTTGCATCAAAGGCATCTCTAGATGGTAAAGAGCATATCAGTACATGTGAAATATTATCAACCCCCTAATTATGTCATTTAATCTCACCCATTGTTGTGTTTTACCTGAACTAGTGTCCTGTGTAGACCTCTTTTCCAAACTTCAGCTTTGTTGCAGGTGGAGATTCCAACGGGAAACATAATATAGGGTACATCATTTACACAAGAATGTCTTGAGTTGAAACTTAAATCTATGACAGCTTTGAATATCTTTGTTTCATATCAATATAAAGAATCCAACCACTATTAAGCAGTAAACGCAAACAAGCTTATTTTAAAAACATTTTTAGATTTTAATCAAAGTTGGGGTTTTGTAAAAGTTAAGCCAAGATAAGACAGAGGGATCTGAGAAAACGCTTTTTCTTCAGTCCAGCTCGTCAAAGCAACTAGAAGCTCCCGTGGCTTACAAAGATGCATCTATACTCAGGAGTGACATAACTAACCTAAGCCTAGCCACAACCTCTCTATGTGTAACAACAACCTCTGTCACAGGGCTGTGCTGAATCGCTGTACATCATAAGTTTACATGGTTTAGAAACAGCACTACACCTGATATTCACTATAAGGAGTTAAATTAGGAAAAAAAACATGCAACCTACTGAGTGAGAAGCAGGGACGATGGTTATGCACTGAAACAGGAACAGCTCCTGATGATCTAAGAGGCATGAAAAAGCGTAGAGTAAAAGATGTACAATGTACAATTATCTTTAAAAAGCACTAAATACTGAGTGAGTCACAAATGTATCATACGTAGGGTTAGTTGTCTTTCAAGTAAAATATTCCACGATAGGAGTTAAGAGTATTGTTCCTGCAAATGTAGTTGAACCCTTTCTGGCGATCTTGTACTTCAGTACATGTTGGATACAATCAAAGGAGAGAAAATAAGCACCTTGACTATCTGTGCTACTTGGCAACAATTAGCATATTGGCCGTAGATGTTCTGCCATTTAGTCGTGTTTTATTGCTAATGCTCAATACACGTTTAAGATCATATTCATCATATTCAGTCTTGAAATGATAAATTCCATGCTCTGCTCGATTGATTATTATTTAATTATTAAAAAAAGAAAATCAAAGCGTTCATTTTACAACTCCTTCCGTTTTTCCTCTATAATGCGGAAAAGTAACAGCATTTACATCCATTATGTATTACTTTCGATATGCACACATAAACATCTTTCGTGTGTCTTCTCTATTAGGTACACCTGTTCATCCTCGTGCTATCTAGTTCCATCAACTTAATATAATGCTGACCAGTTCAATACCACAATTACCTTTGTCCTCAGTATTAAGCATGTTTTTGTATTTCCATCTATGTCAACAAAACACAACATTATAAAGTATTTTACAGTAGGATATCATTTGAAATGTTGTATTTTATTGCTGTAGATATTTCTGGTGAACTTAATAAAGTGTAATGAATCGATAAATCCTCCCTACACATACTGGCTAGTAAGTTTTAACAGTAGTGTTATGATTGTTAAATACTGAACATTATCTACAGACAAATAAATGACCACCATTTCACCTCCAACCTCAATCCACCTCACCCTGTCTCCACCTGAAAATGTATGCTTCAAACCATTATTTACACTCCCTGACCAGTGGTGGTTATCAGGTGGTAGTGGAGCACCTGTCCATCTATACGGCTCTCTGTTATCCATCACCCATCCCACGCTCTCACCCCCCTCTCCGTCTCCGGCCTCCTCCTGTGCCCCTCGACACAATTACTCACAGCATGACAAACGACAGGCCCTCTCAGCCGACATATCAAAAAGCCCCGGCCACTTCTAAATGAAGGCACTTTGGCAGCCCCGTGCTCCCTGTGCTTATCGGCGGGCGAGCAGTGCCCCTGGCCGTCCTGCGTCCCCCCTCTCCTCCCCCTGCTCCTCCACCACCGTGCCCTCCTCTGGGGGTTTAGTTAGGGGAGCCACATGGAGGGCCAGCCCGGCTTGATTTATCTACCTTGCCCCTCTGCCCGGCCACTCAGGCAGGCTGAAAGAGCCGACGAGGCTCCAACGGGCCTCTGCTCGAAAGCTCGGCATTAGCTGAAATAAACCATTCTGCCGCCCAGTGAAAAATGTCCTCTGATTGGCTAATTAATCAGTCAAAGGGGAGCGACGCGGCTTGTGACTTGAGGGACCCAAGCGGGCGACCGCAGAGGGCCTGCTGATAAATAGACTCCCCGCCGATTCATACATCAACAAAAGTTAGTCATTTTTTAAAGCTGCTAGCTCCGATGAAAGGTGGAAACAAACCGTAGCTGTATTTCTCCACCTATGTTTCCTTCTACATTCCTTTTTGGTCTGTTAGTGTAATTTAAAGAAGACACAATTCTTTTGTACCCTTTTTTCAATTTCTAAAGGTCCATTGCAAAACAGTTTTCCTGATCTTAGTCTTGTCTTATCTTAGTGCTGATATTATGACTATTATATTAATCAGGGTCAATGTTAAATAAGAAAAGAAAAATCTTAAATATTTCTTTTTTTTTCATTTTGTTTCAGAAACCTGTTTTGTAAAACTCAGGAATAAATTTCCTATTCATTTTACCTCAGCTTAATGCCATCACTTTTTTCATTTTACCCATTCAGCTTTTTAATCAGCACTATAAAATAT